GCTTTTGCTTAGTACCTACGTTATAATAATTTAATGGGCATAGGACAAGCAATAAAAACTTGTGCTTCTCATATAACAAAATGTCGTAGGGAATAAAACAAAAGGTATATGTCTTTTTTTCTTTGATACAATTAAATGTCTTACTTAAATTACATTCAACTATCCATACAATGATTGTTTTATATTTCATAATTTTTTTTCCTCTCTCCCCTGTCATTCACTCATTTTCTTATCATCATTTGATAAAGTTGTCAATACTCAAGCATGTCTATATACAAATATTTCTCTGTTTTATTTCTTTTGTTTTTTCCTTATACAATATTGACTAATAAAGAATTTCTATTAACAACTACAAATAACTTTCATCATATACAGTGTAATAATAATTTTCATATTAAAATAAATTCTATTAAATATTTTTATAATAAATATAATTGTACATTTATTCTTAATGATGATGATGATAATAATCATAATAAAATAAATATATGTTCAAATCAATCATCATGTTTTATTAATTTCAAATCTTTTTCATTCTTTCATATTCAAAATCATCTTAATAAATGTCATTTTATTAAATTAAAATATATTCGATTAAATTATTCATGTATTAATGATAAATTAATATCGATTAATATTTTAACTCAATCGAAGAAAAATGATTCATTATTAATTTATACAATAAATACAATTCTTATATGTTTATCTATTATAATTTTTATTATTTTACTTGTTTTTATCTATTCATATATACAACATAGTTTCATAGATGAAATTCAACAAGAAAAATATTTAACAATGAATGATATAGAAAATATTCAATTAAATTCTCAATCAATTTATCAACAAGAATATGAATCAAAAATTTTATCATTAATAAAATCATCTTCTTCATCAACATTAACATCTCTTAATAATCAAAATACTATTACAAATACAAGTGAATATGATAATTTAACAAAAGATACATATCAATCATTAGAATTAGAATTACCATTTAAAGTTAAATTTTATGAAAACTATCAATTAAAATAATTAATCATGAATATGTCTATGTGTTTTCTTTTTATTCTCTGAACTTAATTTGCTTTAAGAATTAAAAGAATATATGTGTCTTATCAACAGAACATCTTTCATACTATTGGCTATAAAACAAAGAAAATGTGTAGATTGTTAATGTGTGTATCCATGCTTG